TGTTTTCACCACAGCAGAGTTGAATAACTGTAATCAAGACCTTATGGCTTGTAAATCCTAATGTTGTTTACTGTCTGGTCCTTTGCAGAAGAGCTTTGTCAATACTGGACTCTACTCTTCTAGGAATCTCACCTTACAATTTTCTTAAGTCCATAAGTTCTTAATGTGGGACCTGAAAATCTAATAAATGCACTTAGGTAATATCTGACCTCCTGAAATTGAAAATAAAATTTGGCATTTATGGACATTTTTCTGGGAAAATTTCCCACCAGCTTTATTTTTTTTTTAAGATTTATCTATTTATGCATACAGAACTGGGGTACAGGCCAGAGGTACAGGGGCAGTGAGAGGATTCACCAGGGACAGAATGGGAAGCAGAACAGGCAGATCGTCAAAGTACGCTGCTGAGGGGAGCAGCGGGCAGGTCAGGAGAGGTCTGCCACGCCATGTGGTCACCTCCGGGGCAGGCGGGGTTCAAACTAATGCAGAAGTGGTTTTTAGCTTCTTAGTGCTGTGCTTTTACCCACTGTGCCACCAGGGAGGGCCTCCCACCAGCTTTTTAAAAGAATCTGAATTTCCTCCAAAATAAGGAGGAACACTTCCTCCCAGTCATCTCCCCAGTGTGTTCCCTGGCAACAGAAAATTTTAAAACCTGAACTTCTTTTGCTGAATAAAAAATGTACCAAAGGGTAAATGTCATTAGATAACTGTTTGAAATTGCTGTGAATTATTCAACTCCTAATATTAGATCTCCTGTCCATGCATTTCACTGGGCTGGCTTCTCTAACCCAGAGAGTTAATATAGCAGTACTGTAAATAGAGACTATCCTAACTATTGTCATGTTTCAAAGTTTTCAAAGAAATACTTCCTCAGCAATTTAAATGCATACAAGGTTGTACATAGCTTCATCACAAGAGAATTCCTTCAAGAAAACAGATAAGCTGATCAGCCTATGTCTGCAATCCAAGTTCTATTGTCATTATCTTGGGGAAAATTGCAAGATATGGTATTTATTCTTCATCTATTCATCATCTGGCCTTTTGAAGAAAATGCATCTGCTGGTGACATTGCTCATCATGTATAGATGTGTTTGAAAGTTCTTTCCAGGCTCTCCCTGGTGGTGCAGCAGGTTAAAGCACAGCACTAAGAAGCTAAAGCCACTTCCGCATGAGTTCGATCCCCACCCCAGAGGTTACCCATATGGTGCATCAGACCTCTCCTGGCCCACCCACTGCTCCCCTCAGCAGTGTACTTCGTCCATCTGCCTGTTCTGCTCCCCATTCCATCTCTGGTGAAGCCTCTCACCGCCCCTGCACCACTGGCCTGTACCCAAGTTCTGTATGCATAAATAATAAATAAGTCTTTTTAAAAAAAAAAGTTATCTCCAGTTTCACAACAGGGATAGGAAGCCTGCTTGAGTTCATGAATGGAAAGAAGCCTGTGAGTGTGGGCAGAGTAGGCCTGACTGAAAGGATGCTTATCTACCAAAGAAGATGGAGGCATTTCATAACAAGGCTGTAATCAGAGCTAAGTAAAGCAGAGTATCAAGCACAGAGGACTAGACAAGAGTAGAAAAGGTAGAGCAAGAACAGATTCCCAAGGGCAGATAGCCAGGGTTCGGACTGTAGCTTGGACTGGTGTGTTGTGAGTAATCATGACCTTAAATTCCTCTTGATTGGATGTTTGCAGCTTACTATTGAAAGGTATGGATTGCTCAGAGGTCTTAACAATGGGGTGTCATTACATATCACATATAAAGATATTAGCAGGTAAGTGCTCTACTACACATTGGTGATTAATAGTGAATCATAAAAAGGGCTCTTGGGAAAATTAAGCTGTTAACTATATATAGATAAAAAATGAAACAAAAAACAATTCCAGCACACTGGTTAAACTGTACAACCTAAGGCAGTATTTCCCATTGCATGGTCTGTGAAACCCAAGAGATGTAGGAGTTCCAGATGCAAGAATTTGAGCAATGTGCATACTCCAGCTGCTTCTTGGAAGACCCACAATGTGTAAAAGGCTCTCAAAAGTCCTTTGAGAAGCATCCTGGTTGACTTTGTTTAGCCCAATATTTTCATTATTTTATAGCTCACTTGGAATTTTTTCCTTTTGAAAACAGACTTTTGGAAATGTAAAAGTAAAAAGCCAAACAAATTAGTTGCTTTCATCAAAATTTCTTAATTATATAAAATCTTCTAAATCTTAAGATAGCCACTTATCAAGAGAATGCTGTAGTCATGTTGAAAAGATAAAATTAGATGCACTATACACCATCTACCAGAATAAACTCTAAATGGACCAGAAATGTAAATGTAAAAACTGAAACAGTACAAGAAGCTGGAAAACTAGAGTAATTTCAATGAATTTCATAGTAGGGAAGAGTTTCCTAAACATGCACTGCTGATGGGAATGCAGATGGGTATAAATCTGGGGAAATTTGTCAACATATAACAAAACCAAGTATGCATTTATCTTTTGTTCCAAGAATCACACTTCTCGGAATTGACCTTGAAGCTAGACCTTCAATTATTTAAAAAAAAAAAAATGCCCGAAGTTATTCATTGCAGCATTAGTTATAATAAATGTAAAATATTGAAAATATATTCAAACATGGGAGAATGGTAAAATAATGACAGTACACCCACATAGCAGTACTATGCAGCTGTTAAAAAGGAACCTCTATGAGCTGGTATGACTGATTTCCAGGAATGAAAGCTGAAAAAAATGAAAGTGCAAAAGAGTAGCAGTAGTAATCTACCTTTTACATAAGAAAGAATTTTAAAAAAATGTATCTACTTATTTTTTTGCAAAAATAATACATAGACAGGAAATACCAGAACTAATGAAACTGAGAGGTGTAGGTGGGGATGGTATGGAGGGGATGAGGGGAGAAGACAAAAGAAACAGACTGGAATGGATAAAAGGAACAACTCTTATTGAATATGACTTTCTGTATAGTTTTGACTTTTGAATTGTTAATGTTTTACATACTCAGCAACATAATAAATATCAACAAGATTGGAAAAGGTGGCAAGGGGCTCTGAAACTAACGGTAAATTTTTGAACATAGAATTTTGTCTGAAAAAATATTTCAACAGATATTCTGAAGAGTGGCTTAGAGTATTTTATTGATTGCGTTATTTTGTTTGCTTCATAATTCTGACCTGCTTTTGGCATTCTGTGTACTTCTGGAGGTGTGATGTAGAAACAGGTAAAGGTAAGAATGAATTAGAGTTTGTATCTATATAGCAGAAGTCAATAGAAGCCCATAGTTGTAATCAGGGCATCACAAAAGGAGCCACAACCAGTAAATACACAAGTGAACATTGAGATATTCTGTAAAATTTTATTTGTGGCCATTGAAATTTGAATTTTACATGAACTATTATTATCTGATTTTTTTTCAACCATTTAAAATGTAAAAACCATTCTTGGTGTGCATACGGTATAAAAATGGACCAACTTCAGCCCATGGACCATAACTTGGCAATACCTATTCAGAGAGATGATGATAAAGTTGATAGGTGCATAGGTAGGTAGATAGGTAGACAGACAGAGATAATAAATGTGGTAATGTATAAATTGGGCAATCTGAGTGACAGATAATAGGAATTCTTTCTACTTCTCTTGTAAATTTTCTATAAATCTGAAATTACTTTAAAAAAAAAAACAAAGCAAAAATAACAGAAAGAAGATGTCTGGCCCTCCCTGGTGGTGCAACGGCATAAAGCACAGCACTGCAAGTGAGCCGCAGCCACTTCAGTGCGAGTTCGACCCCTGGCCCTGGAGGTGATCCACATGGTGCAGCAGACGTCTCCTGACCTGCCTGCTGCTCCTGCACCCCTCAACAGTGTACTTCATTAATCTTCCTGTTCTGCTTCCTGTTCTGTTCCCCTGAACCTCTGGCCTGCATCCCAATTCTGTATGCATACTTTTTTTTAATAAATTAATTTTTCAAAACTTAAAAAAAAAGAGAGAGAGACCTTTACTTTCATACCTGAGAAGGTAAAAGCATTAATCCAATCATCAGCCTAAGACATGAATGTCTTCCCTTTTGGAATGACCAAACAGCACCCCCTACTTACGTTTCCCCCCATGCCCAGTGACAATTAGTAGGAGCTACTAATGACATTGTCTTCCTCATTTTCCTGGGATCATATGTATGCCACATCATGTGATAACATTATTTTGCTCCTGCTCGTCCTTGCTCTCCATCACTCTTTGTGAGTAATGAGGTCACTGGTCTGCCAATTTGTATATGACCTTGTAATTTTCTGTAATGTAGGAATTTTTTCCCCTGCTATAATTAAATGGACTAAATAAAAGGTGCTTATCAGAAAATGCTTCATTAGCTTGGAAGTCTGTGACAAATCCTCTCTGATGTCCTTAATATGTTATTATGAAATTGAATTACACAGCACACTCGCCTATTTCACTAGCCATAATCTAGTGATAGCTAAGGTGAACTGTGACTGAACATATCTTATTTTCAGGCACTTTCATAAAGGAAGTATGAATGGCTTACAAAGAAAATCTCTACTATATAGACTTATAATCATTCTTCCATACTTTCCCAGTTTAATTCCAAAAGAATCTATTCTCTGCCTTGGCTTATCATTATAGATAAAGCACATTTTGATCTTCATTAATAATAAAGGTGATGTTGAATTAACTGAACACTCACTCTGCCTACTTCCATACCAAACATATTTTCATTGTTTTTGCTTCATTTATTATTTACTTTTTACAAATAAGGCTTAGTGATATAAAATAAGTTGGCCAAGTTCTTACATTAGGAAACTTGGACCTGGGATTGGCCTAAAAGGCCATTGTAAAGATACTGGATATTATTATCCAGACATCAAAATATGAAGGAGGAAAATCAAGGTCATCTTTGTGGAAAGTCCAGGGAATTTAAACTCCAGGAGAAAGGTAAAATCTACATATGGAATTAGAGACATGTTGCTGATTTACTTTCTTCTCTTCCTTTTAGGGACTGGTTAAATATGTTGAGTCCACCAATTGTTCCTCCCAGTCAGCATTCAGCAGAGCAGCATCCGGATTCTTCTGGAAGTTTGAGTGCTCAAGGTGGGAATATGAAAAATGCTATGCCTAAAAAATAAAAATAACTAGAAATAGAGAAAATCAATCATTTAAGATACCACCGATTTTATTATACGCTGATCACTTAGATTCACATACCAAAATGAGGTAACCTGTGCCTTATTTTATAGCATAATAAGCTCTTATCAACTACAAAGACTGTCAGAGAGAAATTGGCCTTATTTTTCTAAAGGTTAATCCCAGGACAAAATATAGTTGAAGACATAAGAACATGGCGTTAGTATCCAATTGACCTGCATCTGAATTCCAGTTCTGTCATCCCTGCTGTGTGACCTAATGCATCTTGGTTACTGCATTTATATAAGACTAATCCAAGAGATAAAACACTCACCAAAAAGTTTTTCATGATGATTAAGTGAGATATACTGTGTACAAAGCACTTCAAAGAATACCTAACAAACATTAGCTCTTCTTATACCCCAACAGACCAATACCCCAAAATCAATGAGATGAATATTTTCATTAATAGAGACTTGATCTTTTCATTAAAGCAAAAGTTGGCACAGAGGTACAATGGGTAGGATTAGTAATAGAAAAATTGGAAGGATGCAGGAATGAAAATTGGCCAGAGGTTCCCTGTGTTGGCTAACACCATAAAGATGAAGCACAAGTTTCTAGTTGTGAGCCTGAACAGAAAAGAGCTTTTGGTGAAAACAGAGAGGTCGAGATGGTAGGGATAGAGGGAATCTAAAGTGCATAATTATTGTGACAAATAACCTGCGAGTCGGACTCCCTGAGACAATTTTAGAGTTGGATTTGGAAGATGGAAGTTATGTATCTGAAGTTTAAAAAAAAAATCTGAAGCCAATATAAATAGCTCCAACAAAGGTGCCAGGGTTTTTTTTTGTCCCCTAATTGCCCCAGGGAGAAAGTGGAACATCCCATTTTTCTTCAGGTGTGGAGAATTGAGAGCGAGAGCTCATACATCTGAGTTACGTGTTTTGGCTGCCCAAGGGATGGAGATGTCTCTGTGATTTAGTATCTGAAATCGATTATGCCCCTCAAATTGGGAATCTTTTTAGAGGTGTACATTTATAATTACTTATGACAGAAAAATAGAATCTTGGCTGTCAGGAGGAGACCTTGCTGTGAAGGAACAACTAATATGTTATGTTAAGTGTCCTAAATAAGCCACGGGAGCTGAGAACGTGGTCCTTGAGCAAAGGCACTGGAGATATATTTGTGACAAGTGCCTGAAAGGATGTTTTAAAGTCACCATTGCAAAGTGACGTTTTGACAGCAGGAGCTCAATTATGTTGAAAGTAAACAGAACTTCCAGCGAGGGCAAATTAAGAAATCAAATTCAGAGGGTTATAAACATGTTCTGGCCGGCATTAACTGGTCTCTGACCCCTTCTGCCTGTCACCCTAGATTTTTGTCAGTTTTCATTGCCTCACTTCTGATATACTTGTTTGTAACTATTTAATACCATCAAAAACCTAGTGTTTTCTATCTGGCTCATCTTTATATATTATTGGCATAGCCTATACTTAAAAATATACTGAGACAGTGTTACCATATTTCTAATGAAGTGTTTGTCAAAGAAAACTAATGGGCTGAAGTAGCCAGCTCCTGTCATCAGGAGGAGAAAGGCACATCTGTGGGTGGTCTGGACCTTCTGGGTTTCCAGTTCTCTATACCATTGATTCAGCACTTACTATATGGTAGACACTATGCTAAATTGCTTCATTTAGCCTTCACAGCAACCCTATGAGAAAGATACTATGATTGTGTATATATTTGTTGTTTTTTGCTGCTAAAGAAACTGATGCACAAAATTGGCCTAAGATCACAGGACTGTCCCTGGCAGAACTAGGACTTGTATCCAAGCGGCCTGGCACCAGAACCCAACCACTGCTTTCATACTTTTTTTGGTTTTAAACCAAATAGAGAGATTACCTAGTTTAAAAAAATATATATATATGTGTGTGAAGGAGGGAGGAGAGGCATCTCCAAAAATTAAAAAATTATTTTCCCATTGTTTCTGAACTGTAGGATAAAGAAATAAAAACATCTCAAAGGTTAAGTAACCTGGCTCTTTAAGGAGAAAAAAAGCAGACCTCTGGCTACCTGCTGAGACCTGGGGCTGGCCTCCTTCTCCCTCTCATGCTTGTCAGAAGTGACAGGTGAACCCAAGTCCTCCAGAGGTGTGAGTAGTGAGGTCTGCAGGGCCAAGGCGGTGAGGAGCTGGACCAGGACACCACCACAGGATGGCCAGGGCTGGGTTTGCGTGTCAAGGACCCTCTTTCTAAATGCCTTTCTAGGTGATCTTCAGCCAAGTAGATCTCTCATTTAACCTTGGACACTTTCTTCATAGCATTTTCAGTATGTAATTTGTGACTTACTTACTGCTTTACTGCCTTTGTCTCTAAATAGCCTATGCTTTAAGAGCAGAAAGTTTGTCAGTTTTCACCCTCCTGGATCCCTAGTACTCTACAATTTCTGGTTAAAGTAGATGCCATCAAAATTCTTTTTACAGAGAGGACAGAAAAGGAGAAAGTGATGAAAAGAGGTAGATAAATGTTCTTCAACTAGTCATTTAGTAAGAACCTGGAGCCAGAGTGGGAGTGGTAAGGTCATTTATTGCAATCTGACTTTTGATTTTCCTCCAGTTCCAAATTTAGATATATTCCTAAAATTCAACAGTGAGAGTATTGAACTTAGACCCATACATTTTAGCAGTTAAAAAAAAACTTTATCAATGTATATATAAGCTATGAAACGTGTCTTTTAAATGAAATCTTCATCTGGAATACCAATTTATAGCACAGATAAAGCAGAAAACTCCTCTAGCTAAAGGGGGAATTAGAGTCTCAGGACCCTCCCTAAGACTCTGATGAAGCCATTAAAAAACACTGGAGTAATCCAACCCCCTCCATTTGCCTGAAGAGGTAAAAGAGTTGACAAGGTCAAAGGCCCATTTAGAGCCTGAGCTAGCTTGAAGAAAAGGTTTCCACCTCCTCAGAACCTTTCTGCACAGACATTGCTGGGAGGGGAAGACCTTTTCACAAAGAAAAGAGCTGGGGTGTCTCTGCTCCTCAGGCTTCTGGAATACCAATAATAACTAATGTTTATTCCATCTGCAGGGATCCAGACCTACCAGAACACTAATTCAATGGTCACTGGGTGTCAGTACTAATATTACGCGTTATTACTCCATTTTTCACATGGACAGTAGAGCAGGGAAGTGCTGCACTGAGCCACCGAGTCTCCCCCAGAGATGGAGAGGCCAGGATACTCCCGTGCAGCTGGAGACTGTCATCGCATTTTAACAAGGAAAGATGGTCTGACTAGCACATAATTCTAGGAAATGTTCCCCTGGCCCCACAAACATAAATGCATGTATGGCCCTTGAGTCTCTATTTTGTTCAGTACAAGTTTGTGTCAGTCACAGTTTCTAGTTCACCAGAATGTCTCAGGTGTGTTAGTGCCACACTGGCTGGGCCCCAGCAGAGCCCAGAGGAGCAGGCCTCGGCCGCCATTCCTTGTGGGCCACGATGCCCTTGCTGAATACCAGTTACCATGGGCACAGGTGCCCGAACACTTAGTAAAAAATGTGTTTTCCTTGGGCTCATGTAAAATGTAAAAAAAATGGGAAGTTAAGTTTTCAGCACCTAACTCAAGAAAACTACCAAACTGACCTTTAAAAGTGAACCGAACATTGCTTGAAGAATAGTCGTCCGTTTGTTTTTGACGCTTGTTCCTTTGCAGATATGACCCTTAAATTATTCAGGCTTACCAGCTCCAAAATGGAATAATAATGATCCCCTCCTCAGGTCTGTAAACCTCCCTTGCAGTTTCCACAGATTTTTCAGTTGGAAAAGTGTTCAGAAGAGCTTTTGAAGGTGCCAGAGTCTCAAAAACACATTTTTTAAATAACACATTATTTTACTTCTTTTTATGGTGAGGGGGGATAAATATCTCTTATGAGAGTTTGTACCCCCAAACTGACCTTTACATGAATGACTACATGGTCTGCATTGATGCACCATCTGTGATGAAAAAGTTCTCAAAAAGAAATTTCAATTTAAAGTAATTCCAGATGACAGAGGCTTCTGGTGGCCAGAAGAGCCTAAAGCCCCTGGACAGCACAAGAATGCAGGCTACAGAAGGGAACTTTCCTTTGATCCTGATTTCAGACTCACCTTGAAGGCTACCTCCTCCCTGTTGTCCAAAATCCTTTTTTTCTTTCTTTTTTTAAAAGACATTTATTTATGCATACAGAACTGGGATACAGGCCAGAGGTGCAGGGGCGATGAGAGGATTCACCAGACAGAGAGAGGAGCAGAACAGGCAGATTGACTGAAGCGCAGTGCTGAGAGGAGCAACAGGTGGGTCAGGAGAGGTCTGCTGTGCCACCTACCTGGCCAGGGATTGAACTCACGGTGAAGCAGCTGCGGCAAGCTTGGCACCCTTTAAACCACAAGGGAGGGCCCCCTTTCTGGCTTTCTCTCCCCAGAAAATAAGCCTCCAGACTCCATCAGGAGCAGGAAGAGGTAGGACCTGACCTGACTGTGTAGGGTGCAAGGTGAGGAACCAAGGTGGGGAGAGCGCTCGCTGTCCTCTAATGAGACTTCATAGGCCCCTGTTTTAATGTCCTCAGTTTTTATAATGCTTCCGTGCAAAGCCACATAAAATATTTCTTAGTGACCATTAATTTACCTCCCACGGGATGGAAATAGCAGCTGGTGCTTATTTTGTAGCTGTAATATTCAAATTTCTAGAAAAGACTTCACTGAAATCTCAGTGCCGTAACCAGAGAGAAGGGACCCTAGACCTTCATGGGTCCCCCTGTCTACTGCCATGCAGTTGTTTGCCATTTCCCTAATACTCTGAGTCTAAAAGCAGTCTTCTAAAATCTGTTGTAAAATTGTCTCGTCAGACATTGTGCTTCATGGAACACCTGGTAGACCCAGCACGTGTGGCTTCTCAGACATGCTAGAGGCCCCATGATGCCTAATGAG